TGATGCGATGTGATGCGAGCACGAGCGAGCCGCTGTTGACGTGGCGCGGAATGAGCGTGAGCAGCCGAAGATATGTTGGCGTGCGATAAAGCACGGCTGTGCGGGAAGATATGCGGGCGCCGTGAAGTATTAGGAATAACGCGAAAGGCCAGTAGTTACGCGTGGCGGCTGATACGAAGTTGTGGATTCTTTGGTTCGGATGGTATTGCGTGCAAGTGAGTGATGGATTCTCTCTGGGAGGTAAAAGATACATGAGATTCGTAAGTAAGAGTATATATGAGGACGCGCCGAAGCGCTATTCAGAGCCGAGTAGGTAGTGGCTGTAGGTAATAAGGGTCCATGACAAAAGTCATAGTGATATAAATGAATTAGTGTCGGAACTATGGTCAGTCTATTCCAAAACAAGTGAAATACGCACCGTTAGACCAGCGGAGGACATGGATAGGACAGGATAAGGACGCGTGACTGGGCCGATATACGTGCGCGAGCCACGGCCGTCGGCCGATAGCAGAAAAGATGCGCACCGCGTTAACGTTAGCACACGCAACACGAGAACCTATGGGACAATGCAAAAATAGCCTTTACAAGGCCACAAGGACTCTAAGTCCTACAGCGGTGTGTCCCCAGGTGGGTCACACTTTCGGAACACTCAATTCGGATGTGAGTGCGCACTCTGATCTACATGAAGTAATTCACGCCCTAAGTCCAAAATATCACTACAGAACAATACACCTCTTCGAATCCCCAGTACCCATGGTGAGTACTTAGATAAATTCAAGATCAATTTCCGAGGAAAATGACATCATGTAGCATATCTTGCAGCTTTACAAGCTTCGCTTGTCTATGTCTCCTATCTGTTTCCGAGCTTTGCACTCTCTCAATGTCATATCCCGTATTCCGGACCTACATCCAATAATATCACATACTACAGTGACCTATCTCTGTATAATACAAGGGAACGGACGTGCATAATATCCCATATGATACGGGCCAGCGGACCATGGGCCCATGATAAAAATATTCTCGACTATGACAGATGGGCCGGGAGGCAAATTATTCCCGATGGAGGTGGGTGGGCCCATGCAGGGAATATATAGAGTAGATGAGTGGGCCGATGTAAATGAATATTAGGTAGACGGGTGGGCCGAGGTAGCTGGATATTATGCAGATGGGTGTATTAAGGTAGATGTGTATGAGATAGATGGGTAGGTACTTGTTATCACATTCACGGGTGGGCCCAGACACATATTAAATTAGACAGGTGGGCCGAGGGTATTATAAAATATTGTATTATACGGGTGGGCCCAGACGCATATTAATTAGACCGGTGGGCCGAGGGTGTTGTATGGGATGTTGTATTAGACAGGTGGGCCGAGGGTGGTATACAATATAGATGGGTGGGCCCATGTGTATCATAATTGTAGACATGATGGAGCTGAGGTAGTTGTACATCAACCAAATCAGAGGAGGTAATAAATCAAAGTTACCAAGTTCCTGGAGCATCAGGTGATCTCCTGACATGGCAGTGCAAAGCTTGTGTTGCCCAACGAGACACCAAGTTCCGGCCACCAGAATTTGAGTCAACTGTACTGAGTTCCGAGTTCCGGGACCCGGAACTCACCACATAAGTTGGTTAATACTTTTTGATGGTGCACAGGTTGTCTTGCAGAATGTGGAATCCAGGGTGCGAAGCTTGTGTTGCCCTATGAGAAGCCAAGTTCCGACCACCAGAATTGGAGTCAACTGTACCGAGTTCCGGGACCCAGAACTCAACACATAATTTAGTTAATACTTTCCATGTTAAATGGCCAACCGAAGTTGAGATGTTTCTGAAGAGAGCAGCAGGTGCTCTCTTGACATGGCCTCTGATGGTGCTTAGGTTGTCTTGCAGAATGTGGAATCCGCGGTGCGAAGCTTGTGTTGCCCTACGAGAAGCCAAGTTCCGACCACCAAAATGTGAGTCAACCGTACTCAGAGGAGGTAATAAATCAAAGTTACCGAGTTCCCAGAGCAGCAGGTGATCTCCTGACATGGCTGTGCGAAGCTTGTGTTGCCCTACGAGACTCCAAATTCCAACCACCCAAATATGGGTCAACCGTACCGACCTCCGAGTTCCGGGACCCGGGAGTCGACAAATGAATATCTGATGACCAGCGAGTCAACCTTACTCAGAGGAGGTAATAAATCACAGTTACTGAGTTCCCGGAGCAGCAGGTGATCTCCTGATATGGCAGTATGAAGCTTGTGTTGCCCTACGAGACGCCAAATTCCGACCACCCAAATATGGGTCAACCGTACCGACTTCCGAGTACCGGGACCCGGGAGTCGACAAATGAATATCTGATGACCAGCACACTTCCAATTAGGTAGTATTTCATTGAGCAATGGATAATAATACATCTTTGACAGCAGCCAAAATTATCCATGGCTCCCTTATCTGATCCTCTCTATCTCCACCCCCTATAACACCAAAGTCCGGACATCCAGCATTCAGCGTCTGATTTCCCAAGATTAACATCCAGCATGAACGGTTCTTCCCCTTCCCCTCCTGATAGCATAAACATCTGGCGCACTTGGGCCCTGACTGTGACTTATGAAGCAGGGGAATATACTGAACAGAAATTCAAGGCAGAGAAGACTGGAGGAGGCCCAGTCATACCTTCCCCCAACCTAGACACTGATCTGGTGATGGCGTGTGATCGCTTGGCTGATGTACTCATAAAGGCATCTAAAAATCCCAGTGGGTCTTCCTGCAGATTCGGAAAATTCTATTTATCATTCAAATTCCTGCATGACAGTTCAGATGCAGATGGATATTGCAAGATATAGCAAATTGATCTCCCCAAAGGACACCGGGCATAATGAACATAGAGAGGCGAGGTTGCTTGAGAGGTGTCCTCCTGGCCATGAAGGCAAAAGGTTGGTCGATGAACCTGCAATAATTCTTGATGCATCCGGTGCCATCATTGCATGGTATCTCCCAGACGCCCTGACAGACACCACCCAGGTGTGTAATATACATTGTTACTCGATGGATATCGAATATTAATGGAACCTACAGAAGGAAATCAGGGAGGCCACCTATTTGCTCTCTCCAAGCCTCGAAAAAAGTGTAAGGGCTGATGGCAATTGGCGAACTAATCAAAGGTTGTTCAACCGGGGCTCGGAAGATGTTGGAGCAACTCCCGGATGCATCAATCTATCTCCGGCATGGTTTCAACAGGGACACGAGGTAGGATCTGATGAGATGGTGATTCCGGCAGTCATACTTACCAATCCCAAAGAATGTGTCCGATCCGGAGGTATCTGCATCATTGAAGGGACCTTCCTGCGAGAATATCCTCAAAGCCATTGCAAGGCCAGCAGCCATCGCGTCCGCGGCACTCAGAGTCATGCATCCTGAGCAGTACTGGGCAGGGTTGAGAACCTTGTCAAACCTTGGAAATATAGCAGTAAGCAAGGATCTGCCACAGATGCCGGAGGCCCTGCAGTACTGGGCATCCATGTTTAACACCCTCTCCATCATTTCCAATCGGGAAACCCCCCATCATCGAGACCACATGTCCATTGCTGAATGCTTCGACATTCTCACCACCGTGGGGGACTATTCTAATGCTCGGATGACAATGCCAAACCTTCAGCTGGAGTTCAAGTACAATTCCGGCTGTATGATTGCATTTTCCGGAAAGATTGTGAGACATGGAGTGTATGATGTGGAAGGGGATCGGATTGCTTGGGCATGGTATATGAGGGATGCTGTTCATATTTATGCTGGTGTTCCATCATGTGGATGGGCTAGTGTGGATGGTCCATACAGCGTGTGAAAGATCAAACAAAGAGCAAGCATTGTGACCTATATACATTCCAACAAATGAATACCATGTACCAATTGTGATCCGGACCTCAATACTCAATTTTGAGCATTTCCCAAGTGATATGTGGGACTAAATAATTTGGATGCAAGCCTTGGTATTCGATAATTGGAACTCGGGACTTGACATATGGGAGTCCCGAGTGCCGGGGTACTTAGTCCCGACACCCGGACCTCAGCACGTGATATTTGAGACTGGGGGAAGATGTATAAATATGCTCGAATTAACATTTGTTATTGCCATACACATTTAACAAAACCCTGAACCCCGACATTGTGGACTCTGGACTCGACACTGTTCTGAATACCGAGTTCCGGACACCCAGGTCCCGAGTCCCGAATTTCGGAGGTCGGGGTTCGGAGACCCGGAGCTCAGCAACTGTGTTGGGTGTCAGGGTATCCAGACCATTGGAGATAGCATGTGTCAGTATTTTGCATTTCATGGTTCATGTTGGGTGAATATGGAATCGGGGATCAGGGACTCGGTATTCAGAACAGTGTCAAGTCCCAGGTCACGAGCTCCGAGTCCCGAGTGCCGAACCCCGAGTCCCGAGTCCCGAATTTCGGAGGTTGGGGTTCGGCGACCCGGAGCTCGGCAACTGTGTTGGGTGTCAGGGTACTCGGAGCATTGGAGATAGCATTTGTCAGTATTTTAAGTTTCATGGTTTATGTTTCGTGATTATGGAATCAGGTGTCAGGGACTCGGTATTCAGAACAGTGTTGAGTCCCAGGTCATGAGCTCCGAGTCCCGAGTCCTGAAACCCACACCCAGCAGTTGCCGAGCTCCAGGTTGCCGAACCCCGACCTCCGAAATTCGGGACTTGGGACTCGGGGTTCGGCACTCGGGACTCAGAGCTCGTGACCTAGGACTTGACACTGTTCTGAATACCAAGTCCCTGATCCCCGATTCCATATTCACCCAACATAAACCATGAAACGCAAAATACTGACACATGCTATCTCCAATGGTCTGGATACCCTGACACCCAACACAGTTGCCGAGCTCCGGGTCTCTGAACCCCGACCTCCGAAATTCAGGACTTGGGACCTGGGTGTCCGGGACTCGAATGTGAGATTTTTGAATGCATAGAATATGTTACATCTTGTATACAATGAAGAGTGAGTGGGACTACACTCCTTTGCCTTTCCTCAATTTCTCTAACATGTCAGTGTACATCTTCACCTCTCCCATCTTAGCTTCGATGCCCTGATCTTGCTCCTCCAGCAATGCTTCCATGTGTTCTTTGATGAATCTCAGTCCCATGAGTGGTGGAGTCGAAGTGTTTTTCAACTTCTCTGGAAGTACCAAAGCATCATCCTCAACATTAAGCTGAAACAGATAAGTCATCAATCAAGGTAATTCAGCTGACATCTTACCGCCCAATACTGGTAGTGAGAGACGCAGGAAGCCATTATTTCATCCCACTGCCATGGTTGATCAGGGATCCAGTTGTTTCCCCTCCACCATGGACATGTATATGCGAACACAATCCAGGACGGATGTCCTGCAATTGGCTCATCATGAAATGAAAGGAGGTGGAATGAAAAGACATCGTCCGGAACCGTGTTCCAGGTCAGCATGGGATACAACTTAAGGATAAAAGGCTCAAATGAGCCTTGGTCCTGCTCATAAGTATTGTCAGGAAAGTCTTCCCAAGGAGGTGGTGCCTCAACAGGCTGAATTGTTGGTGATTCCGGGGGAGAGTTAGGCATGGACCTGTAGGCATGTCACCTTGTGCTTGCAAGTGGGACCTTGACCCAAGTCTTCCTACCTTTGCTGCCCCTTGCTTCCACCCTGTGAGATTTTTGCACTGGGGTGCATCTACCTATCTTCATCTTGTTTATTAATGTTGCAAGCAAGGCATCAGCTCAGGTGTAATGAATTGTTATTGCAATATGATGCGGTGCAGTCCTGTTGGCTTATTACAAATTCATTTCCATTAATGGCTCAGGGTCCAATATGGGCCGATTAACCTATCATTAGGCTTTGCTCAAAGTTCAACTTCGCACAATTCATTAATACTTTCACCTTGAAAATCCTTAGCCATTTCTGCATTCTGATTCACTATGGCAAGAACAGGTCATTCCACCAACACGACTTCCAGAAGACACAGGATGCGTCAACCACAGTCTCAGAAGCTCACGGACAAGGAGATTTTGGAGTTGAAGAACTACCTTCCTGAGTGGACTGCTGCCAAAAGGAGTGAGAAGTGAGCGATTTTCACTGCCATAGCAAGGGCGGCCAGGTTGTTTGCTCTGAAGTTGGACCAAAAACAATGGAAAAAGAGGAAGCAGGTGAGGCTTCTTTGTTGTGTTGAAAAACTAAATTTTTAACTGTCACATTCTTTCATCAACTCTTAGGTGTACAAGACTTGGTTGTTCAACAACAAGAAAAAGAAGGAAAGGAAGGACATGATCAAGTATGGGAGGAAATGGACGCCCAGGATGGTGGTCTACCAGCAGAAACGCGAAGAGGTGCTGAAGAGGATTGAGGACGAGTCCGGGGTAAAGCCAGGAGATCCTGGTATGTTCAAACATTATCAGGCGGCGGTGAAGAGAGTCATGGCTGAATTGGACGACGACGAGTTGGAGAAGGCTAAAGAAACAGCCGAAGAGTGGTCCAACAACTGTCCACCTCCGGAGATACAAGCACAAGTCGCTCGTAAGAAGGGTCCGGCATATATGGAGCACTTTTCGAACGAGATGTGGAGGCAATGTGGGATGAGAGTGTTTGTGATGTCGGCTTGGAAGAATGAAAAGGGCGAGGTGCTGTTCGGGATGTGAGTACATTTATCCATCGATGGAGATTTTTCATCTCAAAATATTCATGCAGGCATGATGATAATGAGGCCTTAGGAGATGGGGACAGCTTCATGAAGATGAAGGACTGGGAGGACATTGAGCCAGTGTGGCAGGAGTATGCACAGGAACAGTTCGGTGAGTGTGTGAACCATGTATACCAGATTGAACATTTTGAGCATCACAATGATAGGCGCCGGGGCACGGGATGGAGGACGTCAGGTCAAGGGAGGTCGAAAACGAATTCGAAAACCAGCCTTCGAACTCAAATGGACGGGGAGGGTATGCCACTCCTTCCGGACATCACCGACACCAAACTTGAGGAGAAGAAGGCCATAGTAAGGGCCTTTCTTACATCGCACTATCGTGAGTTTGTCGTCGCATCACCTGACAAATTGTTCAATGCATGGACAAAGGGATATGCTCCGGGAAGGACAAGGTGGTTGTGCCATGGAGTGCCATTGTACAAAGTCAGGATGACTTCGTGGCCCGGACATATCTTCCGGCGGATGTTGACTTGAAGGAACCTTTGAAGCTGCAAATTTGGGACACCACTACCTTGCTCCAGTTCTGGCTCGCTCGGCAGGAAACAGGCGAAGGGCCCACATTTCTGTTCAAAGCATGGAAGAACAAAGATGGGGACATGGTACCATCTGTCATATCTGGCAACTCGCCCTCTCCTCAGACTCGTATAGTGAGAAGGCAACAGAGGGTTACCATCCGAAGGCCTCGGGAGTCATCGACAGAAGCCGAGAGTGATAAGGAGAGTGCCACTCATCATACGGAGCATAATGTGGATGATGACCTGGCTGACGGGAGACCTCCGCTGAAGAAGCCCAGGACGGGAGGTCCTACACCCAGAGGGCCGGCAGTCCCACATCCAATTCCAAAGCCTCGCCCAGCCAAGCCAGCCACAAAAGGTGCATTACTGACATCACGAATGGGAGACCTCCTTGCTGGGTTAACTGACGACGCGACGGGCGAGGTTAGAGATGATGTTGAAATGGAAGAGAGTATCACGCTGCCGGCACAGAAAAGGAGGCGGGGCACTAGAGTCACTGTTGAACCATCCACAAGGACGACCCGGAGTAAGTTGCAAATGCCAGTAGACAGTACACCTAGAGTGACCAGAGCATGGGGATGCACTTAATGTACATATATCTTCCTGCCCTCATGTGTAATGTCATATGTGCTATTATGTATATGTCAAAGTACTAACAACCAAATTGTTAATGCCAAATGCCAAATCTCGAGTACCAAGGCCCGAGTACCGAACCCCGAGTACCGAAGCCTGAACACTGGGCACCGAGTACCAAGGCCCGAGTACCGAACACCGAGTACCGAGCCCCGAGTACCAAGGCCCGAATACCGAACACTGAGTACCAAGGCCCGAGTACCGAACACCGAGTACCGAACACCGAGTACCGAGCCCCGAGTACTGAGCCCTGAGTACCAAGCCCCAAGTACCGAGCACAGAAAACCTGGCAGCCAGTACTGGGTAGGTAGAGTATACAAGTACCAAGGACTACCTACTGAGTAGTACTGCAATGTGTCTACTATCAGACATTGATCAATATTTACATGTTACTTGAGTCCTCAAAGGCCTCAATGAGGGTATCCAATACCTTCAGCATTTCGGAGGTTGACTCCCTTACCCTTTGCATCCTCCGGAGGTCTGCATCTGCTTTCCGCAGCTTTGTCGCATGTTTCAGCCCATGCCATCCTGAATGGTCTGTCAGCCTCAAGAATTTGGGCTACTGTAGGGGCAGGAAGATTTCCATGACGCTGTTCGTAATCTCCCAGGCGATCTACAATTGATTGAACTTGCAGGATATTAGCAGAGATAAATAATCAACTGTTGTATACTTACTTTCAGCTTGATCATAAGATCCGATTGGCATGAACTCCTGAACCATGGCACGCAGGGCTTCATTGTTGAGTTCCGGCTCGGGCGATTGATGTTCGGGAGTTTCTGACATAGCTTAGGAGATAGCATGAGTAAAGCACATGAAATGATATGAATATACCTACAAGGTATGGGTGCACCTGGTACACCCGGAGTGGCCGGATCGGGCTCTGGAGTTGATTCATTCACTGGGGAAATGCCATGAAAGGTGACCATGGGATTGAAAGAGTAATCTCACCAGCCATAGGAAAATCGGGTATAACCGGAGCATCATCAGACGAAATCAAGGTATCCTCCGGACCAAGATACAAGTCCAGGTCATCGTACAGGGCCAGTCCATCTGCCAGAGCCGGAGATGATGGATCTGGAGATATGTGATGAATTTGCACATGTAAAATATGTACATTTGAATTGGAAAACATACCGGGAATTATATTCAACACATCCAAACCACCGGACGATCCAGAATCAGAGTCTAACTCATCATCCGGCCCAAGGTATATATCATCTAATGGATCTGAACCATGTCAGATCAATTGACTGAAATCAGAAAAAACAAAACATACCAAGGGACATCCAGGACTGGGAGGACTCATCCACATCCATTGAAGTAAATTCAGTGACCGGAGGGTCATGAAATCTGACCCCAGGTTGAGAGCTCATGATATCTGATGAGCTGATGCACTGATGAACTGATTGATAACTGATAACGTCGAAGTTCAACACATGGCCGGCGATTGCCTGAAAGTTGAACGATGACCAAACAAACACAAACAATCAACGAATTTTCAACATCGTCCTTCAATTGTATTGTTTCTTTGAAACTTCATTCTATTGATAACAGATTTCACCCTGCTTTCAACATTCTCACATCTGTCAACTCCATCCAAATGTCTACTCAAGTTCAATCTTCATTGGCCAACCTCAAGGCATCCACTGCTCAACTTGTGGGCATCATTGCCGGCGCCCTGGCACATACCGGCCGGCTCTGTGGACGTCCACCTTGTTCTAACAAAGCAGGTTACCACTCTTTTGGTATGTTGAACTTATTAAATTAGTGTAACATTAATGTTTGTAATGTCCGGGTAGGCTGACATCATCCGGGCCCATGAGAAAGGGGAGTACATCCCTGGAATTGTGGCGTCCTGCTCTAAGGAGCTGATGAGGGTGCGTTCCATGACTCCCCGGGCATTGCCCAACTGGCACAGCATTGGCCACGATGACCCCTGGGTGGCTAGACACGCCTGGCGCAAGCAAGTCCGTGCCTGGGAGGCGTTGGGTGACAATTCCTGTGATCTCCCTGTTGTCCCTAACGTTTCCACTGGCCCACTCACTGTCAACCTTCCGTCTCCACCTGTCCCTTCACCTGCACTTGTCCCTTCCCCCACCCCTGTCATTCCCTCACCTCCGGTCATCGCCGGACCTTCCGGCAAGACGACCACCGAGGTCCAGGACAAAGGAAAAGGTAAGGCCACCTCCGTCGACCTGTCGCCGGAAGTTGGGGGGAGCAACAAGAGGAAGTCTCCAATGATTTCGGGACACTCCTCCCAACCTCCAAAGTCAGCGCTGAAGGCTCGCAAGCGTGTCAAGTCAACTCAACTCCCCAAGTCGAAGCTGTTTGTGGAGTCGGAAGATGATGAGGACCCAATTGTTCAGGTATGTGTTCTGGCTGATTTCTGACATGCTCTCAATTTGTTGCAGCCGATTTCGCGTGGAGTGCCGGAGGTCATCCTTCCCCAGCGCACCATTGTGGTAAGGAAGCCCCAGTCACCTCGGTCACCTGGTTCCCCCAAGAAGCAATCATTTGGGCCTGCTTTGGTAAGTTTGCATTTTTCGTTTGGACTTTAAATATATGCTCATGTGTTCACAGCTGACTGCCGGCAGTCGTCCGGAGGTTACAGTGAGTCGTTTGGACATGTCCGGACCTCCCATGTATAATTCCCACTCATTCCCATTACATTAGAAATCTCCCATCAGTCGTCCGGAGGTTCCGGTCAGTCGTCCGGAG